TCAACATTTTCTCATCTGGTGTTCCCTGGGGTAAGCTTTTGCCTATATAATTGTGTTAATATGACAAAAGTCTTGTTTCAGTGAGTTTATATATTTGTAAGGGAGCTGCCTGGTGCTAGAACATGGGTAAAATCACACCAATCAATATATATGGGACAGCAGAACAGATAGGAGCTTAACTCTAAGAGGATGATGAAATATAACACTAGCAAGGCCATGGGGATGTTTCACTGGACTAGATAATTCAAGGTGGCTTCCTAAAGAAACAGTGTATAAGTGGAGATCTAATGACAAATCAAAACTTATAGTGATAGGTAAGAGAGTCCTCATAAGCAGAAAGAACACCTATGACAAAGGAGCAAGAGAAGGTGGTCTGAACAATACCATTATGGCTGAGAGACAACGTAGCAGGGGAAGAGGTGGGTGAAGGTAATTTAAGGATTAGATAGACAGGTTATACAGGGCCTGCTAAGGCATGGTGAGTTTTTGAGTTTTATCTTTTAAGTGTAGGGGAAATTTAACAGATGGTTTTACAAATTTGAAGAATATAGCTGCTTCTTAACTTAAAGTAGGGTTAAGTCTTGATTGGTCTACAGTAAGGTAAAAATATCATAAGTCAAAAATGAATGTAATAATACATACTGATCATCGTAATTTGGCAACACAACACACTATAGAGTATGGATGCTTACCCTCAAGGTTCTGGTGGCTGACTGCAGGCTTTGGCTTGCTGCTGCAGCCACCTAGTGTGAGAGAATATCCTGCTGTATGTCTCTAGCCCAAGAGTGGATCAAAAGTCAAAGTACAGTTTCTACTGAATGCATATCTGTTATGCACTGTTATAAAGTCAAAAACTGCAGGTCAAACCCTCATGCCAGGGATCATCTATATACGATTTATCCTTTTAGAAGGTCAGAGTTCTCTGTGCATGAAGGACGTTACTATGAAGAGAGAGAAAGTGGAAAGTGGGAGACTTGCTGGACACCAGGTTAGAGCTGCAGATACACTGGCGGTTTGTACCAGTAGGAGGAGAATGGAAACAGAAGTGTCATGTGGAGGGCATCTTTTGATAAACAAGTTATTAAGACGAGCTGAAAATTGGATATGTAAGGAATAGTAAATTAAAAAATAGCAAAGTATGAGTTTTTCCCCAAATTTTCTTGTTTAGGTTCCCATTCACATGGTCATGACTCCTAATCTGAACTGACAGTAGTAGTTTCAGTTACAGCATTTGCAGGGCACGTTGCAGTTTATCTATTATTTTTCACCACACCTAGATTATGGAACTGCATAATATTAAATGTGGATGATGGCACAGTATTGTCTGTTCCACCTGAAAAACTCAAACTCAAATTCTTTAAGTCTCAACTCTTATTTTAACTTCTCTGTGAGCCATTAATTGGCCACACTCTTGAATTAGGGTTTTTCACTTGTTTGTTTTTTTAAGTCAGGGTTTCACTACATACTTCAGGCTGGGCTTGAACTCACTATATAGCCTCTGCTAGTCTCAAACTCATAGTGATCCTCCCGGCTCAGCCTCCTGAGTGCTGGGATGTCCCCAGAAGGTTGAGCTCCGCAGGGAGGCAGTATTTTTTTTCAATAATTGTATCCTCATTGTATTTTATTTTCAGGACGAAGGACGGGTGTATAAATGGAAAAATATTTGATGATTTCTTTTTTTCTAAACTATAGCAATTGATCATTTTACCACTCCCTAAATACCCTGGTACATGTCTTAAAACTTAAAAAAGGCAGCCTATTCCAGTTTCAAATACCTCTAATTATTGAGAACTTCTTACATTGAATTTACAATCCTGTGTTAAATTCTCAAACTTGATCATAGTTATTTCTGCTCATTAAACAGATAACAATAAATTCAAAACTACTACTATCACTTTGGAAGAATAGCTTTATGTAAGCTATCTTATGATGGGTTAAAATATAAAATCCGTTATCTGCCAGAACCCAACATTAAATTTAGATGACAGTGAATATTCACAATCAGCCATAAATCATCCTATTATGTAGAAGTTCTTTAATAATCTTTAAATATTGCATGTATGTATGCTTTTACACAGAAATTCATGTGCATGTATTTTAAATTTATACTATTAATAACAATTAAGCATTTTCCATTATACATAAGTTCTGATTCAAAATTGTGCAAACCTATGATTAATATTTTCATACCCAGAATTTTCCCAATAAAAATTTTTCTTAATTCTATACATGTACAAAGAACTGATAAGTAAAGAAGGGCATGTTATAGGCTGATTAAAAGGAAAAATTTTGGAGCTAGTCAGATTTGGGTTTCCTAAGCAAACCCTTATAGGCACTGCAACTTTAAGAGATTATTACTACTCTGACTTGAGATTGCTGCCTCTGGGGTAGCTTGACACATGTCTGTAATCCTAGGTCTTAGAGAGCAAAGGCAAGAGGATCTCAAATTGGAGCCCAGACTGGAAAAATCAGATATACAATTCCTCAAAATAAACTATAAAAAAGGCCTGGAGAATTAGCTCAGTGAAAAGGTCTGGATTCCATCCCCAACACTCAAAACAAAACAAAACAAAACAAAACAAAACAAAACAAAACAAAACAAAACAAAACAGAAAAATTCTTCCTCATCTCTGGAAAACCGGTAAAGCAACTTTCTCCCACTCAATATTTCTAAGTTGTGTTACTTCCTCTTTTTAATAGTTAAAAGTTAATTTCCAATGTGGCATATATATGTAGCGAAATTTTACTCAGCCATAAAAGGGCAAGTCCCTCTTGTTTGGGACAGGTGACACCCTAGAAAACATTATATTAAGTGACATTAACCGGACACAGAAAGACAGATAGTACATGATCTCATGGACATGTGAAACATAAAAAAGTTGATCTCATAGAATTAGACTGTAGAATGGGAAGTTACCAGGGGCTAGGATGGCTTATTGGCAAGGACTACAAATTTGCTGATCAAAAAATATGAAAATTCTGTTAGATAGGAAAAATAAGTTTAAGGAATCTATTACACATCACAATGACTGCAAGATTATCATAATATAGATTATATTCTTGAAAAATACTTAAGAGAGTGGATTAAAGAGTTCTTATCAAAAAGTGGTAATTATGTGAGCTAATGCATGTGCTAATTAGTGGCATTTTGTCATCTACAATGTATATATTTCACAACTTCATGATATAGTTGATGAACATAATTTTATCTATGAATTAAAGTTAAATTTTAAAAATACTAATGATTAAAGCACTCTGTCTCTCATGTAAAGTCCATAGCAATATAGAACTTATCTGAGATTTTAATGAGAATAAAATTTGACAATAAAAAGTTACATTTTTAAATGGAATCCACAGAATTTTAATGTACTAAATAAAAAGAAACCTGTTAAATTGGCAGATATATATTTGGGCTTTCTTATGAAATTCATTTGTGATTTTTTGGAAATGATTGATGTTCATATAATTTGAGATTCAAAAATGGCTGAACATGACATATGATATATTTAGAACTTCATTTTTTATAGTATCAAAATGTGCATTAGGATTTAATTAATTCTGCTTTGTCAGTTAGAAACCTGGAGTCAGAAAGCAGCCGTCTTCACTGTACCAAACACAAAGGTTCTAATGAGTTACTTCCACTAAAGTCAGGACAGCAAGGCTTAACTGAGATGCTTCAAGAGATTAAATGTAACAATTACACTTCTGTTTTGCTGAGGGTATAAAGCCCCTGGAAAAGATACTGGGATTCTTCATTGAGTTTTGATCCTTTTAATTGCTTACTGACCATAAAATTTCTCTCCTATGCTTACACTACCAACCTGCCAGAAGGAAAGAGAAGAGTAGACCTTTTTCACTCCTAGCCCAGCCCCTTCTAACCAGGCAATGAGTAAAACTAGACAGTCACCAGTGATAGATGGATCTCTGATAGATTACAGCAAATCACAGGGCAGCAGGCAAAGTGTGCTATTCTCAGACTCTTTGCTTGCTGTACTGCCGGGTGAAATGGTCTGCTTTGCGGTGGGCACCTTTGAGCCTGGTTTTGGAATCCCACTGGAAGATGGAATTAAACTTTCCCTCTTGGCTGCTGCGGTCTTGCTGCTCTTTGGGGTCAAGCTGGTGATTTTGGAGGGTTTTTGGAGCTGTCTCAGTCACCTGATCCTTTTCTTCCTGAACTGGTTTAGCAATACAATATACATATTTAAATATAACATATATTTTATATTTCAATACATATAAAATACAATGAGTAAATAATACATAACAAGCAAAAACTAAGCCTGAATATATTAATTTTATAGATAATTCTTTTTATTTTGAACCTTATACTTACTGGTGGGAAATTAATAAAATATTTACTTTGGGAAAGTAATACAAACAAAAATTAACAAACAGCTACAGTATGACAGGATACATACTAAAGATGTTATATCTTATAATAGTTCCAACACCGCAAGGTAAATTATTATTCCTATTGGGCAGTTGAAGAAAATGGACTAAGAGATTTTAAGTAACTTGTCCGAAGTCATACAGCTGCTAAGTAGAATAGCTAGGGAATAAATCCTTATCTGTGTGCTACCAGAGCCTGCCTCTTTAACCACTGTCATATACTTTCTCCCAAGGGTGACAGCAAAAGTATCTGTGAGTGCCATAAAACTGAGACTTATTTTAAAAGACTGCTACCTCTAATAGCAGTAATACAGTCAAAATAATAATAGTGCTAACCAGGAGAGAGTCACGGTACGTGTATTCTATCCTGCCTTTGACAACATGTAGACTAATTTGTGAAGTCTCCAACCTTTGAGAATGTGAGAATTGGTCTAGATCATCTTTTAGTGTTTATCCAGATTAAGACTCCAAATTCTAGGCCTCTTACTTCAGAATGAAATATCAGTCCAAAAGGACGATCCCGAGGCATTGCCTCCTCTCACAACCTTTGATACTCTCCACTCCTTGAGCATGAGGCCCTATAAGAAATGCCTGGGCAGAGCCCGCCTTACCTGTAAATGAATGGAGCCACGGTGGCGGTGTTCGGGTGGCTGTGCTGCTGCTGCTGAGGGAGATGGACAGCGCCATTTCCTGTGCTCTGACTGCTGCTCTGCACCGACACAGTGCAGGAACCGGAGGGAGAAGCGTGGCCAGCTTCCCTCCCGTCCAGAGGGGCAGGGCAGTGGGATGTGCTTGCTTTCTCGGTGGCTATGGGCTTGGGTAAGGACTGGGAAGGGCTTCCCTTGGTAGTCCTGAATTTCTCAGACTCTTTGCTTGCTGTACCGCCGGGTGAAATGGTCTGCTTTGCGGTGGGCACCTTTGAGCCTGGTTTTGGAATCCCACTGGAAGATGGAATTAAACTTTCCTTCTTGGCTGCTGCGGTCTTGCTGCCCTTTGGGATCAAGCTGGCGATTTTGGAGGTTTTTTTTGGAGTTGTCTCAGTCACCTGATCCTTCTCGTCCTTAACTGGTTTATCAGTGCAAATTTTATTTTTGTCCCTGTTTTTTTCCTCTTTTTCCTTTGGCTGTAGCAAAGACTTTTTATTGCTGAGATTTTTGCTTCCAGCTTTCGGAGGGGCCAATTTAGGTGATACTTTGGGACTGCTATTTGTTGAGCCACCACTATTCAAACCGCTATTAAAGCCTTCCATTTCACTACATTCAGAAAAGGCATCATCATCCTTCCCACCATCACTGGGTCCTGAACTGGGAGACTGCGGGGGCCGTAAAGCAGTCCGTGCATTAACCAGCTTGAATTTTTCAAGCATAGATTTCTGGCCTGAGGGAGCAGGTTTGACCCCTTCCGAGACCGGTGGCTTCAGTCTGTCTGAAGACGGTGTGGGAGAGGTGGCTGGACTCGACTGCTTCACTGTCAGCATGGTAGAGGTGGCACTGTGCTTGACATTCATGGACTTGCTGCGCCAGGGCTTGCTGGCACTTGGAGAAGGGATGGCAGAGGCAGGGGGCTGCCCCGCAGTGCTAGGAGGCTGCATATTACCATTTACACCTGAAGATGGTGGAGGGCCTTTGGAGGAATCTGGCATTGTTATGAAAATAAAAAAAAGAAAAGGCTGATTAGTCCTGATCATGTACATTTACATCCCTGAGTAATTCTTAACCATAAACACAAAAATCTCTCCCCTCTGAGCTCAAAAGAGACATACAATGTGGCATTTGTAACAGTCTTACAAGGAACATCACTATTATCATTCCCCTTTTACAAATAAACCTGGGCCAAGAGAGACTATATAATTTGTTCAAAGTCATATAGATTGGCTTTGAAATGATTTCAGAACTGTGTTCTTATCAAGCACACCTACAGCTTCCTGAGTAATCCAAACAAACTTTAAATTCTAACAAAGCAGCAAGCCATATTTTGAGAGCTAGAAGAAAATAAATACTTTTGTCAGGTAAACACATTTCAGTGAGCTAGCATTTCCTTACGTCTCATTCAGAAGTTACATTATCATGTAAATTTTCATAAGAATATTCTAATACTAAGAAATCCCTGATTGTAAGTCATTTTTGAGATTGAAACCAAATCAAAGGAATTTCATAATAGAGAATAAAAACAAACTGGGTTTGAAATTAAAAGATCTCAATTCAAATGTTAATATTTGAGGCACCATATAATTCTGCTAAAGTCATTAAACTTACATTTTACTGACCGGAGACACTTCTCTGTACATCATCTTTATTGTGGGGAGTAAAGAATGATTGCATATGAGATTTGAAAAATAAATGCACAACTATTCTTTTGATGAAATACTAAATGAAAATATCTTACAAAGAATGACCTTTTCAAGATATTCAGGAGTTGGACTATTTTATACTTTATTACATATTCATAAATATGAAATTTTTTTTATCCAAAATGTTTTCTTCTGAGTTCAAACACATGCTAAACAATATATAATCAAGCTAATGGTGAAGAACACTAGCCTTACTCAATTTTCAGAAAAGAAAATTGACATACAACAAAGAAATCAGAGAAGGGAAGTGAGACCAAATTGCTTGTTGAATTTCTACTTGAGTTAGGGAAGTTTCTTTTATTTTCAAATAAATGTGCCCAAAATAACACAATAGACATTTGAAATTCATATTAACTATAACAATGGTATAGGCAAATGCTTTTTGTATTAAAGTTTCTCAAATGATTTGGTGTACCAGCACTGAATCCTAACTCCTGTTTCCCTTCTAACTCCTGTTACCCCTCCTGTTACCAGCACTGAATTCCAATTCCTGTTACTCCTCTGTAATTCTTCATTTCAACTGGAAAAAAATGAATATTAATAGTACAGGACTGTACCTATATAATGTAGATTAAAATATACAGATAGGTGTGGGGGGGTGTGCCTATAATCTCAGTAATCTGGGAGACTGAGGCAATAGGAACACAAGTTCTAGCCTGGTTAACCTCATGAATTAAACTGAAAACAAAACTAAACCTTTAAGCAAAAATCTGGGCATATAACTCAGTGCAAAGACTTAGTTTCAATCCCTAGTACATCACCTCCCCAAAAAATCATTCACTGAATAGTTAAAATTCTTCCATAGTAAAGTATATCTAAATTTTAAAGCATATGATGTTAATTGAACTTTTTAAAGTATTTGTCTAAAGTCTGTATTGTTCCCATATGTAGAACAATTGTAGAAATTCATTAAGTTCATTCACAAACACTAAAGTATTCTAAAAATAGGTGTTTCTACCAATTCACACACACAAAAATCTAACAAACTTCAAACCTCCAATTACTCAAATGCATCTACTTACCGTGAATAGATTTCAATATTTTGCTAATCATGTGTTCTAAGTGTAGGTAATTCCAAGTTTATTTCACTGACAGAACTCTTTCAGAGACTGGTAATATTACCATTACTGGGTAGAGCACACTGAGACTGCAGGACTGCCTACCAAATATTCTTCATATTAATTTTTTCTTATTGGTCATATCTTAGATTTTACCTTTGCTTTCTCTGAAAAACAAAGTTAGCCAATCTCTGCTTCTGATCAAGACTGGACTAGATGGCTGCTGTGGCTTCTTCCTGAGCTTAGTACTTCTTCTAGCATAGTCACTATCCTCTGCTGTGCTGCCTGTTACCTTCTACTACATGTTATTGTCCATGAAAGCAAAGAGCATGCCTGTTTTATTCATGGTTTTCTATTATGTCATACCCAGGCACTGAACTCAGTGAGTGACATATTAATTGAGTCCTCTCTGCAAAAGCATGAAGTTATTATTTTTCCCATTTACAAAGGAAAAAAACCCAGAAGTATAAAGTAATTAAATATCTGGGCAAAGGTTACAAAATTTCTAAGTGATGGAATTGAGAAATAAATTGCTTGGATTCTAAAGTGATCCTATCAATTACTATATATTATTACTTCTCAAATATAAAAGGGGTAATTTCAACAGCTTATCAATTATAAGATTGTCACAGGGTTATATTAAATGAACTTTATTACTCAACTACCTAGGGTCAAGGGTAAAGTAAAAACTTCTCCCCCAAACAAATTTATTTTCTCAGGTTCACTATATTATGTAAATCCCCATGCACATTTCACACAATGATGTCACCATTTTGCTGACTTTTCCAACTTATATAACTATACATTTTTGTCCAGGAATATTATTCAATGCTGTTCAGTTCCTGTAATTTATAGGATGTTAAGCTCATCATCTGTTAGAGTTTGCTGAATGCCTCCTTTATTCAAGATACTCCAAGGCACTTTGTCCTCTTGTTGAAGATAGAGAACTCAGAAGAGATACATGCAACTGCACAGCAACAAAGACCTTTTGTCAAATGGGTGGGATGTGGGAAAGTACACAGTACAGAAGGGGAGAGGTACAAGAGATCGAACAAGGCTGTGGAGCAAGATCTGGACAAATGATGCAAAAGGTAAGAGTAGGCTTTCTAGACAGGAGAAACATGTACAACACTTTGTTATAGAACTACAGGAATGTTCGTATATATTTACATTTTAAAATGTAAATCTACATATTGGAATGCCAAGTTAGAATGAAACTGAGTCTTCTCAAATGCTACTCTGCTGGGAATATTATTTTTGTTTTTGTTTTTTTTGTTCATTTTTCTTCCAATACCAGGAATTGCACTCACTATCCTGCGCTTGCCAGGAGGTGCTGTGCTGCTGAGCTAAATCCCCAGCCCCTCTGCTGGGAATATTGTTGAGAGAAACATGATGACATCACACTGAGTGCATCATCATTCTCTTACATTTATGACAAAACTTATGCGTTATTTCTTTCTATAATGAAAATAATGGTGTTCTAAAATATAATTATGTTAACTGGTATTTTATTGAAGATTCTTTAACTTCATTATTTCATAACAACCCAGTGAAGAAGGAAGTGTTTGTATGTCCAACTCACACTTGAGGCAACCAAACCTGGTGAGCCTATATAATTGTTTAAGTGTGTACAGCTAATGCGGAGTGGATGAGGGAGCTATTTTTAATTCCTCATTGTATGAGTCTAGAGCCTGGGCTCTATATTTATCCTAGAGTATCTGACATTCTAAGTGTTCCTAACAGGGGCTCTTAGACTTAAATGGGCACTTCAGCTCTCTGAGGATCCCACAGAATGCAAACAATGAATCAGCAAGTCTTGTTAATCCTGTGGGTCCAACACCGTGTTTTGAATGTCAGAGTTAAATAGTTTCAGGGACATGAAAATTGCTTCTTATGCCATTGCATTGGTTAAACTCATACATGTTCCAAAGCTCTACAGCATTAAGGTCTTTCCCTCTTTGAACTATCAGAACCCTGGGCAACTCTGAGTTCATCTGAGCTGATTAGCAATGTATGGCAAAGAATCACTAATAACATGTTCAGCTTTTCCTAATATCTTTTTTCATTATTTTAGCCATAAATTTAGGGCAAATTTGTGGCACATTTGCAAATAGCTTAAGAACTCAAGGAATTCCTATCCCTGCCAGCCTGAGAGCATTGGTGAGGATGGAAGCAAGGATAGAAAAGGACCAATCACAGCGCTTTTAAGGGGCTGAGGGACAAGGCAAGTAGGAGACAGTTCTCCTTCCTTAGAAAGGAGAAAAGCAGTTGAGGACATTAACTAGACTGCTATTGAAGTTCAAGTGCAGAAGAGAAATTTCAACATCACTACACCCCAAAATGAGACAAGAGAGACTCCAGATTATGACATCCACATCCAACCCACAGTAATGGTCATAGCAACAGCTGTAAAATTGTCCTCAGCTGAATACACACATATGAGATACCTCTTGATGCGCAGCTCTAAATCTGTCCCCAGCCTGTGTCTATATGGCAGCAATGAGGTGTTTCAGGTTTCATTAAAAGGGCAAATCACAGGTCATCACACATCAGGGAGTCATTGGAATGTAAGAGTCTCTGGAAGCCTTGTGCTAGAAGGTGCACCAGCAGCTGGGATGGTAGTGTCTGCAACCTCTACAGAGTGGGTGCAACTCAAATTGCAATCTGAAATTTATATATTCAGTAATGAGTATCCTGGCCAGACATAGTGGTGCACACCTCTAATCCCAGTGCTCAGGAGGCTGTGGTAGGAGGATGGCCATGAGTTTGAGGCCGGTCTGGGCTACAAGGTGAGCTCAAGGCCAGGCTGAACTGCATAGTGACACCCTGTCTCAAAAAAACAAAAAAAAAAAAAAAAAAAGAGAGAGAGAGAGAGAGAAAGAGAGAGAGAGGGTATCCTGGGTCCAGTGATTTCTCTCAAGGTTGAAAACTCAGTTTCTGACAACAAAAACATCTAATATGGAGAAGATCAGATACCTTACACAGACATTTAAAGGCATTCCTGCAAGGGTTGTGTACCTTGCATTTTCATGGCCTAGCCCTGCTCAAAGCACTGCCTTTATCTCTGGTCTCCAAGTGCAGTTTCTTCCCTCTCCTTCTTCTCTTCCTTTCCTCCCACCTCAGTTCACTACCACCAGCTTCACCATCATGAAATAATAGTGCCTAACAACTGCTTGTTTTATACTCCTTCTTAATAACTGATTTTTTATGCTAAGTATCCAATAAGC